GATTTTTTGCATCTTGTTTTTAAGCCCATAAATAATGTACTCGTTTTAATAAATTTATATTGTAATGTACTCATTCTAATATATATATATATATATATATAAAAAAAAAAATTACATTGCTGGTAGGTCATCATTGCACAAATTAACACACTCTCTACATTTAAAAAAATAATAATTAGAAGAGTTCTAAACTAATGCGCTGTTTTCTGTATCTAACGCACACACATGCTCAGTCACTCACACAGATCACGTTGCGGCCGCACTCAGACATTCAGGAACAAACATTTTAGCGCTGCCCTGCAGGTTTATCAACTAAATAGCTTAATCGCTCAAGAGCTACATTATCTTTCTCAACAAGGACCTGGTAACATCGTTTCTAAAGGAATTAAAGCCACAGCTTCACTGTTAATAGAGAAACGCGGCAAAACGGTGGTAATTCATACATACACAGCCTCTCTCTCTCTCTCTCTCTGTGTGTGTGTCGTAAATTAACACTTGATGAATCACAATTTTCTGAGAATAGATTATTGAAGTGGAGATCGCTAAACTGCAAGCTAACCGCGTTTTCAGAAAGCAAGCGCGTTTATCCACAGTGGAGAGAGAGCGCGTGTACACATGGTTGCCAGGTTGAAAAAGATAAGTAACACATTTAGCAGATATTTCCGTATCGCACAAGTGGGAAGCTCTGTTTCTGGGATTACGTCTCTTTATATCAGGCATCCCAGTTGTGTTCCTCTGCGGTAAGATTAAACCTTGTTGTAGCCTATATATTATGCGCTATTCATAATTTTTTAGAAACCTTTTCTGCTCAATTTTAAACGTCGTTCTTGTATTCAAATTAAGCGCGGTCCACTGCTGCTCACGTGCCTCAATATCGACACTGGGACAGCTGTATCGATACTTGTATCGTCAAATCTCTGTGACGATACATTATCGTATCGATGTATCGAACACAGCACTAATTATCGGTGTTGAAAACAGTTGTGCTGCTTCATATTTTTATAGAAACCATGATGCATTTGTTTCCGGATTTATTTGATACAGAAATCTTGTGTTACATTATAAATGTCTTTACTGTGATTTTAGCAATTCAGTCTATTCTACATAAAAGAATTTACGGAAGTCCTAAGAGGCCATGGATTATGATTATTTTTCTTTCTTGTGATCTCGACATTACGAACGTTGTTTTGTTTGTTTGTTTTGAGACAATTTTGCTTCGCTTAGTAATAACATCTACAATAAATAATTAAATATAGGCTGATCAATCACTGTTGATTTTTATTTTCCAGAGACAGTACACTGAACATTTTGTTTGTGTAATTAACATGTTTAAATGGTCAAACATAAGAGCATTCAACGCTGCAAGCGCAGGTGGATTCAAACACAACATGCATCTAGCAAGAACTTAACGATATATAAAATAATCATATTGATTCAAGCATTTAACATTTATGCATTGATTAAATGTCAGTAATTAACAGTACTGCACAAATTATAGCGATCACGAAGAAGGTCCTTATTCTGTCCCAAACGTGTACAGTAAAGTGGATATACAGTATACAACACCCCATCAGTTATATTCAGTTCTGTACTGCCACCTGTTGGCGCAGTTGTGTAACTTATGCCCCCTTCACACATACAGACTTTACTGGTAAATTACCGTTAAGACATCATGTGTGAATGGGACCTTTTCAAATATACCGGTAAACTCGTTCTGTTCTGCCTCTTCAAATATACCGATAATCTGCTGTGTGTAAACGCTGAATGAAGATTATAAAAATAATCCATGGCCTCTTAGGACTTCCGTAAGAATTTATTTCTTAAAAAAAATATATATGTATTGACCCCAAACTTTTGGTAGTGTTCATAAAGGTACATATTGTTGTACAGCCCAAAGGTAAAACAGAGACACAAGTGTATCTGTGTGTAAGAGAGGCTTTGGGCAGACAATGCTTTATCCCACGCGTATAACTACACACACCACAGATGTGTGGCAGCAATGTAAATGGGACATTTCTTTCTCTGTGCGTGCGTGACCTCACCTCTGTCTGATTTGGTCCAGTTTCTCTGGATCACTGATGAGCACCTGAACACCCAGCTTCATCTTGGTTTTCTGCAGGCTGAAGTCCAGACAGGCTATCTTGGCGTTGGACACGCGCTTCACCATTCCTAAACAAACATAAACAACATTACCACACACACACACACACACTAACTCACTATGCAAATGCCAAAAACAAGCATGCGTGTGAACAGACCTTGTGATCCGACAGTGCAGTTAAGTGCGTATCCGTTGACGAGGAAACTCTCTTTCTGGCTGCGTCCGTGAGCCTTCAGCACATTCACAGAGTTGATGGGATAGCGAGCAACACCTTTCCCATCAACAAACTTCACAGCCAGGGCAGCGTCCACCACCATATTAGCAAAAAAATCTGAATCACTGACAGAACGTCAAGGAGCAACATCCTTTCAAATGATTAGTCAGGCCATGCCCATCTCACTTTATACCATTTCAAACTCTGAAAAGAAATGCAGACTCTCTACACGGCCTTGTAATGCTACAATCACTTAAAGTGCCCCTATTAAGCAATTTCCAATATTGTCTTTCATGCAGTGTGTACTGTAGCTGTATGCGAATACAAATTATCTGCAGAGTTGTAAAGCCGACAGTGCAAGATAAATAAAGTTTTTGTCTCCCAAAAGAAAGAATCGACTCTGAACAGCCTAAACGAGTCGTCAGTAATTCGAATCTTACTTCCGTAATGGATACACATCACAGGGTAACACATTTGCATAAAGCCTGCCTCTGCTCTACGTTGGCCGGCCACGGACAACTTGACCCGTCCTCAAACACTGTAGCTTGTTCATGTGGTCGAGAAGATCATGTGTCTTATGCAGTGAAAGTAAATTAGTTTTATTTTCACTTCCGAAAGATGAGGCTGCAAAGAATCAGTGGTTAAACTGTATTTTTCTACTGTCCCACAGAAGCACAACCCCAATCTATTTTTGTGTTCCCGTCATTTTACTGACGACACAAAACAAAACGCTTGCTCTTGAAAGATGAGCTCTGTGCTCAGTTTATTTTCTATCGAGCATTCAAAATACGGATCTGTGGCAGTGGATGTATCGTTTCTGACACGCGCTGTACGCAGTAGACCAATCACAACAGACTGGGCCATCTGACCAATCAGAGCACAGCAGGCTCACGGAAAGGAGGGGTTTAGAGAGACTGAGTCTCAGAACTTCTTCGAACGAATCACAAAAATGAAGTGATATTAAATGCATATTTTGAGAAAACGCAAGCGTTTTTTTGACTCTGCAAGCATGGAAACATATTGTAGGAGACACTCGAGAGATATTAGGAACCTTAAAAATGGCATAATAGGGGCACTTAAAAAAAAAGAAAGAAAAAGTATCATAGTATTACTATGTTAATTTGGGTACCAACTAGTACCATTTTTTGGATGTTGTAACTTAATATGATTTCAGATACTTCCATCACAGTCACATTAATTTATTTGAAATGTTTATTATAAAACAATGAGCTCTTCACGATATTAGCAATGGACGCGGCGGCCATGACTGCGAAGCAACAAATAAAATGAATCTGAACGTTTCACTCGTTTCTGTTCAGCAAGATTTAGTATGCCGATGTTGTCTGCATCGCAAGAACAGTTCACACAGAATGCATCTTTGCACTGCTTTTTAGTTTTTTCTATGTAAACATGCGCTACATGGATGTGCGCTCACGTCTTTTGATGCGCTTAACACACTGCGTCCAAAGTTTACACTGCGTCCAATATTAGTTTTTTTCTGTATTTTTGGTCAAATAAATGCAGCCATGATTAACAGAAGAGACTTCTTTAAAACACATTAAAATCTTACCGATCCTAAACTTTTGAACAGCAATGCAAGTAAAGCTACAGAGTTCGTTATTATTTTTTAATTCATGGTGCACTACAATCTGTTGTTACAGAACGCTCTTTATCTATTGTTTTACAGTAAAAACTAGGGCTGAACGATTAATTGCATTTGCGATAATATCGCGATATGAAAAATTTAGATTTTTCAATCGCAGA